CCGACACACAGGCTCCAACCCAAACGCTGAGAGCCTTCCCAGGCTGGGTCTGGGGAGGACCAGCGTGGAGCACAGCCCACGGCCCCGTGGAGGTCAGCTGAATGGCTCTGCACGGGGCTGAAGGCAGGGCTTGGTGGCTGTGAAAACCCTAGTGAAGGTGCATTTGGGGCTCTGGGGAGCTCCAGAGATGGCCTTGATGGCCCAGCTCTTGAAGGGAAAGGACCAGAAGGGTTGCATGCCACACACTCGGGCCTGGCCAGGACTCAGAGCCTTGTAAAGCGTGGACTTGGAGCCCAAGGGCTGTCAGGGGCCCGAGTGCCTGCTCCCAGGCACATTCTCCTTGAGCGGTTTCCTGCCCTGGAGCATCAGTGAGCTCCAGGGACCGAGCTGCGCCTGGGATCGGGCCAAGGGCAGTGAGTGACACGGGGGACCGTGGCCTCTGGTTCATGGGAGTCACAGGGCCAGGGCCAGGGCCAGCTAGGTGGCCCCCAGAGCCCTCCTTGCTCAGGGCTGCCGGGTAGAGACCCAGCCTCCGTCCAGAGCGCACGCATGTACCTTAGCTCAGGCCCAGCTGGCGAGACTCAGCACTCAGCATGGCTCCATCTCCATTCCTCCCACCTGGGCTAAATTCCAGCTTAACCGGTTCATTCCATTAGAACTGCTCGTCAGTCCTGTGGACCGGCCCCTCCCGCAGTGTCCTGGGGACAGGGAAGCCTCAACTGGAGCGGCGGCCGAACCCTGGCTCCTCGTAGATGCTCACGAAGCCCAGGGGCAGCGTGGGGAGAACGAACACCCAGCACCCAACCGGCCCCAGCCCAGGGAGCCCCAGGGTGGCTCAGCCCCATCTTCCTGCCCCGCGGCTGGCACTGTGCCAGGCACGGAGTAACCCCAACAAGGGTGTGTTTTTTGTTGAGGGACAGACGTCGTCTTCTCATTTCCCAGGTTTCTTCCTACAGAAGACGATGTTTAAGTAAAGGACACAATGGTGTGCCTGGCACCGTGGGTATGAGTGGCAGGACGTTCCACGCCCGGTTATGAGGCCTCCGCAAGGCAGGCCCTGCGTGGTCCTTCTTTGTATGTAATTCTTCTCAGTGCTGAGCACAATCCTGGGCACGCAGAACGCTCGTTGCCTGGACCCGATGAGGCAGTGGGATGCGGGGGCAGAGGGCAGAGGCAGCTTCACCTCTTGTCCCTTGAAATGGCCTCTCGGGCACCCTGAGCCATCACAGAAAGAGTCTGCCCTCCGGAGATGAGCGACACTCCCCAGGCCAGTGCGGACGCTCCTCTGGTGACAGGCAGAGCCCAGCCCTGCAGCCGTTGTCCCCAGGTGCCAGCCGTCGGGATGAGCGCGAGCGAGGCTGCCGTGGACCCTCCGACCGGCGCGTCTGGCCTCAGTTGACGCCAGGAGAGCCGCTCAGACAAGCCCTGCCTGAATCCCTCCCTCAGAACACCGTGGGTAAAATAAAACGGTTGTCTTAAGCCACTAAGATTTGGGGTCACCTGAGTCACAGCAATATGCACCGTCTCATTTCAGTCCATTCATTTTACGTGTTTTACAGACTAGGAGATGTAAGCGCCGAGGCCTCGGTCTCCCAGGAGGCAGAGGGCCTAGCTGGCCTTTGAACTTGAACGGGGGAAGTCTGGCTCCGTACTCCCTCAAACCCAAGCTGTGTTAGACTGCTTCTTAGGGGGTTGGTGTGTCCCTCCTGATAGGAGGGTTGATATTTCAACCCAAAACATTACCTTCAACCACAGGGTTGAATAAATTTTCAAGGCGTGAGATTTCCAGCACCAACATATTCCCCGGTTAGAGAGACATATCCGAGTGACACTGACGGGGCTTGTAAGCACCTGCAGCGTTTCTAGAACCCACCAGCTCAGGCCCTGGCTCTCAGAGCTGAGCGGATCCCGCCGGCGTGGGGCTCAGCTGCTTCCGGTGACAGGAGCCATCCAGTCTCTTCTCTGGGCTCTGCCTGTTTCAAGGGGCTCCAGGCCGAGAAGCAGGACCCATAGCTGCCAAGGCAAGGTCCTGTCCATTGGTACTCACCCTCCCGCCCCCCCGTTGGCATTGGAGCTCTGCCAGGAGCCACCCCCTTCTCCCTCAGGTCCGGGTCAAGGAGCCAGTGTCCTTTCCCGGCCTGCCCTGCTCCCAGCCCAGCTAATTGAGTTGCTTTATCAGCCATCAGCACTGAGGGGAGGGCATAGGGCCTTTCCCCTCGTGGAAGGAGAACGGAAGGAAGGGTGAGAGGAAGCTGCCGGCCTCCAGATTGCTTATCGCCTCTCC